GTGTGTGTGTGTGTGTGTGTGTGTGTGTGTGTGTGTGTGTGTGTGTGTGATGAGCTGATAAGCCTGTACATTAAAGCAGTAAGCTTCCTAAACTCTAGAACTGGCTCTGACTTCCTATGAAGCAAAACACATGTAGTGTAATAGTTGAATAATGATGATATAAGTAGCGTGCATTAAGTACAATTGGCAGTTAGAAGTATTTCTGCTGGTATTAGGTGCGTTTCAGTAAAATATTCTATTTTTAATGCAGAAGTCGGGTCACATTTACATATAACTTCACAAGCTGCCTCCTGTTTTTATATTCCCATAGACATGAATATTTTTTTTAATTGTGAAATAAAAATAACACTTGAGAGGAAAAAAGAAGCCTGTGCTGCAGTGGTGAGTATCAAATTGTCGTATTTTCAAGTAGCAAGAACTGATTTTAGATTTTCCTCACAATCAACTCAAAAAAATGTAAAAGAAAAAATCTTATATTCTGCAAAGTGATTGGGGTGGGGGGGGGGTTGTTTTTTAAGATTGTTATTTTTAAACCCTACACATATTTAATTCCGCAGGATGAAGCTTAATTGGTCTCATGTAATATTTATCACGAAGCTCTTATCATGAACACTTTTAACACAGTTTTCCTTTCTTTTGCTTCCCCATATTATATCGATTTCACTGGGTTATTATTAGTCAGTTATACCTCTTTCTCCCCTTGCATTTACTTACTTTGTCCACCGTCCCGGGTCTGAGTCGCTCCAGCAGCCTGCACAGCACCGCTCCATCCTGCAGGGACGCCTGGAGGAAAGCCTCTGGATCCGAGATGCTTTTCTTGGGAGACTCCAGGACTCCGAGCGTTATGAGCCACGTTACCGTCTGTTCGGCTGAATTCATGCTTGACTTTCAGATGTCATAAAAAACAACAAAAGCAGCGGCGGGGGGTAGCAGCAGCACTCTCCCCTCTTAGTGTCTGCGCTAACCTACTTGTGGTTTGTCCAAAATCAGACGGCGGCGTCAGCCCCGCCTTGTTTTGAACACTACAATCAGCGCGCACTGGCTGGATCCTCTGCGCTGTTTTTTCCTGCTATAGAAAAAATAAGGTGGAAGTGAGAAATACCGCTTTTCCTTCCTCTAACAGCCCCTCATTGTCTGCGCTCTGGCTCTCCCTCAGCGGATGTTGGCATCACCTTTGCTCAAACACAACTGTAGCAGCGGCATTATTGTCAAACCAGCTGCTCCAAGAAGCAACTTCCTTTGATGGTTTACAAATTAAAAGTCTAACGCAACAACAACAAAATGAATCTGATACAACGTAACTACAGGGCCAGTATTGCTTATACCGATACTGATCCCGATACTTTTAATCTATAAAAGCAGCTTATTTAGGGGAGCTCAGTGTTTCATAACTTTTCGAGGAATCAATTTTTGGGGCAAAGCTGGACTCTTTGCACTTAGGGTCAGTATCTGTTGTTTAAAAATTCTGTAGGTAATAAAAAAAATACAATTGACAGTCAACACAAAATAATTCAAACATTTTTTTTAGAATTCATGTTTGATTTATACTTTTTTATTTACAAAATTTCATTTACTGTCGATATTTGGCAACAAGACACAGGCTGAGCTGGCTGACATAATAGTGTGCATGTGGTAATGCTAAAGCAGCATTTCTGTATAGTACCACTGAAAATTCAGTTTAGAGGACACAGTAAAGTGTCAAGTCTGTTGTTTAATTAGAGAAAGCACTAAGACAGAATGAGGCCATGGTCCTCAGCTGGAAAAGGTGGAGTGACTTTTCGTTTGGTTCTTGGCAAAGGCAGTTGCACGTTTCTCCTCTCCTCCTTTCCCTTATCTTCCCTGCTTAGCTTCTTGTGTCCTTGTCTTGTCTCGTGTTTTTTGTATTACTTTTCCCTGGAACAGTCTCTCACAGTCTGTTCTCTAAAACAGAATTATGGATTTGATCAACTGGTCTCTGAATGCTATTGACACCGTTTTCTCAATGAGAGACGTCTCAATGAGACGTCTGGGCTCGGGAGAGCCCGAGTGCCCTGGAGGTACTTTCCCTGCCGGATACACGATGGACGGGTGGCAGAAATGGAGGATCGTGTGCCTGGCAGGACTGTCGATCGAGGACGCTGAAGATATCTACCTATTTGGAACCATGATAACAGGGTTCTTGCTGCTGATCGGAGCTGGCTTGGCCCTGGCTTATCGAAGAATTAAGAAAGCGGAACCGGCTGAGGAGGTGGCTGGGGAGAGGGAGGCCTGGGCTTCTCTGCTTAGGGTGCTTCCCCCGCGACCGGGCCCCGGATAAGTGGAAGAAAATGGATGGATGGACTAAGACAGAATACATAAAGGATGGGTGTAAATTTACTTTATATTTTCTTTATATTTACACCCAAAAAGATGTCATAAATGCTGTCATTTTGTTTTAGTAAACAAATCAGAAAGTGGAAATAAATCTATTTTAAGGGCCAAGCTGTCTTAATTTACCTGCTAGACAGCAATTTTTAAAAAAAAAATTTTCTTGGTGTACCCTTTATTTTGAAGGTAAACTCTCCTGACTTCCGTTTTAACCTTTACCCTCCTCCAGTGTTTTGACAGCTGCACGTCACAGGACCGTCCCATTGATGACTAACAGGCTAATTAAAGCACACAGAGCAGATTCCCCGCGTTGTTGACAGATACGTGCAGATGTGGTGATTTATCCACGCGGTAACGTACTCATAAAATATTGTGTCTTCATTGTATGGCCTTAAATGACAAGCTGGCTTTTACAGCGACAATTTTGTAAGAGGCTTGACTGTCATCAGTTAGCAGTTAAGGAAATGCAGTTAATGCTCATCAGTCAGTAATGAACCATAACTCGACTGGGAAAACCCTTTCCCATTAACTGCGCTAAACTGGACTCTGTCGCCTCCTGCCGGACAGCATGGTTCATGGGTTATTTCTGATTCCTAACTGCTGTTTGTTTATAAATAAACAATAGAATCTAAATTCCTGCAATAACAGCAGCTACACGGTGGCTTTAAGACACAATGGCATAGGAAAATGTAATTATATTGTCACATAGCTATCTGACTCTTTGGAGGAATTATGCATGAATTAATGAGTATCTTGTAAAACTCAAACAGAAAGCTGTCAAACGTTTGACAGCTAATTGTGCTAAACTGTTTGCATTTGTATTTAAAGTTTAAAAGTTTTACAATAGCTTCATTTTCAACCTCAGTGCCTCCTCATTACAAATGACCCCGGGTTGCAAACCAGGAAGGACCGCTGTGTGCAAACCCTATTCTACTTTAACCCCAGAGAGGCTATTAGATAAGATAGATAAAATTAATATACAGAAGAAAATTGATTCATAGCATAATTAAGTAACAAGTGTTCACTTTAGATTAATTATGAACACAATACAAATTACTACAGGAAAAATCCATTTGGAAATGTTGCATATGCATAGCAACTCCATGAAATTTTCAGGAGACTCGCCTGAATAAACAAACGCCTAAACTTTTGGTAAATATAATCCCAAACACAGTGTTAGACAAAGTGAAAGCTGCTTTCAACCTGGGTCGCACATACACATTACAAATGCCAAACGTACACGGCTCATAGCAATTAAAGGAACATTTGCACAAGGTACGCAGTAGTTTGTATGGCCCCCACATGCTTGTATGCATCCCTGCTAACATCAGAGCCTGCTCTTAATGAGATGACTGATGGTTTCCTGGACGATTGGACGGAAACATAATGTCCCAGAGGTGTTCTGTTGGATTTAGTTATGTCGCTATATGGATATGCCCCCCACAGACCATCACTGACTTACCACCAAACTGGTCATGCTGAATGATGTTACAGACAGCGTAACGTTCTCCACAGCTTCTTCAGATCCTTTCACGTCTGTCAGATGTGCTTAGGGTGAATCACAGGGCACCAGTGGTGGTCCTTCCAGTTCTGGTATTCGATGGTAAGTCCCAGTCGGGCTCCACGGTGCTGGGCTGGGAGCACAAAGCCTACTAGAGAACACCAGGCCCTCAGGCCACACTCATGAAGTCTGATTGTTTGGTCAGAGACATTCACACCAACGTCCTGCTGGAGGTCATTTTGTAGCTCTGGCAGTGCTCGTCCTGTTCCTCCTTGCACAAAAGAGCAGATACCGGTCCTGCTGATGGGTTCATGACCTTCTACGGCCCTGGTTAGCTCTCCCACAGTAACTGTCTCCTGGAAACTCCTCCATTTTCATGAGACTGTTCTTGGAGACATAGCAAACCTTGTGGCAATGGGACATATTGATGTGCCATCCTAGAGGAGTTGGACTACCTGTGCAACCTCTGTTGGGACCAGGTAAATGGTAAATGACTGGTTCTTATAGTGCTTTTCTCTTTTAACTGAGCATTCAAAAGGCTTTATATAACATGCTTCATTCACCCATTCATACAAGCACTTTTTTCTATGCTTAAGTGTTCAGAGAGGAACTTGAGGTTAGTATCTTGACCAAGGATATTTGACATGCAGGCTGGAACAGCCAGGGCTAAAACCTGTAGATGACCTGCTCTACCACATCACCTCATGCTACCAGTAGTGACACTGGCCTTAGTCAGATAAAAAACTAGTGGAAAAAACAGTCAGAAAAGATGTGGAGGGAAAAAATATCTGTAAAACCATTCCTGTTTTGAGGGTTGTCTCATTGTTGCCCTTCTAGTGCACCTCTTGTTAGTTTCATTAACACCAAAGCCAGATTAATATCCCACAACTTTATCTGACTGCATCTCTGCGTTTTCATCTGCAAAAACAGCATCTTGTAGTTTAATGATCGATAACTAATTGTTTCAAATAAAGTGTAAAATGTTAAATGACTGCACCTCTAGAAAAGTGTGACACAAATGCATTGATCTTAGACTTCAAAGCAAACTGGGCTGGGTCATGTTGGGTGTGAAAAAGAAAATTGGCAGATCACGCTAAACAGGATGTCACACTAAGAATTTATATATTCCAAAAGCCTTAAGTTGCTTCAATGTGTGACTTTTTTCTGCCGCTGCCAGTAGCTGATGATATTTACAACTCGCATGTCTTCGATTCATTTGAATTTTATTTTGTTGCTGCACAAGCCTTCATTTCATCTGTTATTATGAGTTCCACGCAGGGTCTGAGCAGAATGCCACTAGCTACCATCCTCCATAAAGTAAACCCCAGATCTCAGTGACCAGCCAGGCCAGAGATGATAGTCAGCATGCTGACTTACTGCTTCTGAGTCTGCAGAGGAGAAAACACAGGCACAGATGCTGAGCACGACACACCCAGTCTGAAAAAAGTAACAGAATCTTCCATCTTCCATCCCCCTATTTTTATAAATATGTTATAAATTATGTTCAAATACATAATTTAAAAATGTAAATTATGTAAATTACTCCATATTGTGAGACTATTCAGTGCATGATGTTCTTAAAGCTGCTGGCCTACAATCAAATTCCACTTGGCATATTCCTTTGGCTTGGCTGCTGTACAGATAGAAGGCATTTCTACTGATTAAGTAATTAACAGACTAAAGAAGAAAATCAAAATCAAACAAGTAGGGAAACAAATGCAAGTTGAATAGTTGGAATATCATAAAAATCACCTGATAAAGGTTAACCTGGTACAACATGGCGAGCTTCATCACCAACAAAACGCCAACTGATATCTTTTGGAAGATGTTGTCTACATCCACAGATCCATCTCTCCAATCAACACAATCAGTTGGGTGTGATTTTCAGGTTGTTGTGCAGTTCACTGTGGAGATGATTTCACATTAAAAAACTGTAGAACTAGCACCGCCTACTCTGCCTTTAAGCTGATTGGCTGTCTCTGGCAAACAGAAGGCTTAAACAGCAGGTGGGCGGGGCTTCTGTGCTAAAGATGACCATATTGAGTGTATCCGCTATCTAAGATATCACTTAGACTCAAGAGAAAACACAAATGTCAGCAGTGCTTAGTCTGTTGCAGTCTGACCTGGGCCTACTTAAGACACTGCTTGGAGTTATAGTAAATTCACCGTGCCAAATTTCTTAAGTGTTCCTGAGGTATCACTCAAACTTATCACTTTATTATTTATTACCTCATCCGCTCTGTCCAACTCTGCTTGGATAAGCAGCTGCTTGTTGTTTTTGTAACACTGCCAAAAGGGAAGTTGGTGAATAAACTATGCAAAGTCAACACTCATAACACGTTATCTTTTTTCAACTGCTGTAAATGCAGATACCAATAGATTGGCAAATAGTTAATGTCAACCAGTCAACATCGGGCAGAAATATGCACTTTATGTAGCTTTTCAAGAAGTATTATAAGACAATGTCAGACAAATGTACATTTTCTTATGTACTTTGTGTTGGCGTCTGCTAGAAAATGCAAAAAGGTTACACTCGTACTTGCATGTACATATTCCATATGCATATGTGAGCCAACCCACACACGTCCATATACTCATTTAGAGAACCACCTAATTCATTCTCAAAGTCAACAGAGGTAAAACAAAACCACTGAGGTAGAACATGAAACCAGGCTAAATAATTTTCCATCATGGCCACCACAGGGTACGCCTTGCCTCTAAACACATTTGCAAACTGTCCAGTTGCATCTTTAAATAAATCCTCTATTTAGGACAAACATTTTTGTTATGTAAAACAAGAGAACTTCATAGATAAGCTGAAACTCTTATAACAGGATGAGATATACAAAACTGTCAGATGTACTTTTGGTCATTTTAAGGTGGACAGCTCTTAGTGTACTCCACAGTAAGTTAGAAGTTCAATAAAAACCTATGCTAAAATGGTGATTTACAGCAGGTTCAGATATGCTGACACTAAACATAGTGCAGTTTAAGCTTAATTACTGCTCACAGAAATGATGACCTTTTGATGGTGCTAGATAAAACATTAAGACACCATCACGGTTATCCAAGTTTTTTTGTCCCTAAAGTCAAGCTGGTGATTTAAGCAATTTAAAGGGACGTATTCTGTTCATTCTAACACTGATTCTATTACAGTAGCTTTGAATGATTCATAGTTAAAAAAATAAAATCCTTATTTATCTTACACTGGCCCTTTTTGTAGCCCCAAAATACAGCTGGGGCTGTGAGCACTTCTACATACAGGGCTGTGCAAAAGTCTTGAGCTATATTTAATTTCTTTATATTTTGCAGAAAAATCAAAAGTTGGTGCCCCTATTTATTAAAATATGTGAAAACATATATGGAAGTACAATATATAAGGCAAAAAGACTGTTTGTACAACCACCTTTATTCTTCAGCATAGTCTAATCTGACATTGCTTTAAGTAGTCTTCAGGAATAGTTATCCAGGCTTCTTGAAGGACATCCCAAGCTCTTCTTTGGATGTTGGCTGCTTATCTTCTGTTCTCTATCAAGATAATCCCACATTGCTTCAATGTTGAGTCACAGACTCTGGGGAGACCAATCTGCGACTGATAGTGTTCCACTCTGTGCTTGTGTGCTTCTTTGTCAGGTCTTTGTCTGACTTTTTCCTGTTTCTTAAGGACGCAACTTTCAGATACTGTTGATCTGCTGAATAGAGTATTTAAGCCTGCCATTTCTTCTTTTGTCCTCCACTTGTCCAGTTTCCTCACATTTTTCAAGGATACACTGCACACCATGCTAAGATATGTGGGGATCATCTTTTTTGTATCTTTGTATCTTTTCATATATTCAACCAAAGAAATGGGAAGGAGTTATGTGTTTTTGTGACAGGCTGTCACCAGAAAAGTTCCTAAAAAAACAATTGAAAATGGTTCTTTTGCTGATTTATCCCTTGAGATAGATGCTTTTTCTATTTTTTAGCTTGCTTAACAAGTGGAGGAAAAAAAATTGGTAGCCATATCTACATATGTGTCTAGATTTAAAATTCATGCAAGTTGTTCCTTTTACATATCGCCTGTTTAGTAATCAGGCCACACTTTCCAATTTCACCTGCGAGGTACTTTTGCTGACTTTTTGAAGAGGAAGCAAATGTCCCGTGGGCTATGCCACTTTTGCACAGCAGTGACTTGCGGTTGTGGACTGTGCCATTGCACGTAAGATGGGGGGTGACACAGCGGTTTCATCAGTCCTGTCAGTTTTTCTGTAGCTGCACTTCAACTTCCTCATTGGCTCGTCAGTGCTGTTTCCTCTTTCGCAAACTGATATGATTCTTGTTCAGCAGACAACTTCTTATAGGTCTGCTCTTTTAATCTCCAGAAGAACACAAACAACACAAACCTTTGCTTTACAAAGTAATAGGTGTGCGCTCTGTCGCTGGGTTTGAATAGTCTTCGTTTTTCAAAGGCCGCATGAACATTGAGCCTTACGTGAAGCTTGTGCAAGACTGGTGAGTACAGAGACATCGCAGCAGAATTTAAGCCATTTACTGACACATGAAAGCTCTTTAAGTCTAACAACACGGTGATCTCTTACATGTCCCCAGCTTCAATGCGCCCCTACCTGTTTTCTGTGTGAAGGAGAAAGAAGCAGCAGACTGAAAACTTGGACAGTCATGGATGTCTAAGTGCAGTAGCTGTTTGTGTGTCTGTGTGTGTGTCGAGTGAGTGCGTGATGTCGGGAGACACCAGCACCCTTTCCTGGAGGAGCATGTCTCTGACCAGCCAGTCAGATTCCTCGGACCTGTCTCCAACAGCGGGTGTCCACAGGGATGTCCTCTCCCAGGTGAAGATCATCAAAGTGTGTTTCCTCAGCAACAGCCCCAACCTGGGCAAGAACTTCAAACTCATCCGCTGTGAGGAGGGATGGACTGTCAAGGTAGACCTTTTTTTACTCTTACTTCATACTCTACTCTAAAACTATAAAAGCTTTACTCTGCTGTGCTTATCAGATAGACTGAAATGCTTTAATAATGTTCTGCCGCCCTGCTTTCAGCTACTCTTCTCTAAGTTTTCCTGACTTTATTGCACTCAGATGTATTCTTCATACCTTCTTCTAAGACAACAAGGAAGTCTGTTTTGGATTTCTGAGAACAGGATGCACACACTGATAAACAAGCCTTGCGCTGGCATTTAGCCTTCGCTTGAGTTCTCTAAACCTACATCAGAACGGAATTTATTCGCATGACACAGCACGCGTTGTAAAGTTGATATCAAGCTTATACTGGAAAGCTAAAATTCAATATGCTTCTCTGTAATTATTTCAATCCCAGAATCTGATCAGCACGGTGCTGTCCAGCGGCTGCGTTGGTCCAGAGATAAAATACACCCAATGCTACGGCCTCCTTCTCAAACACCTCAAATCCTCAGAGATACACTGGCTGCACCCTGATCTCACTGTGGCTGATCTCACCCACCGCTACGAGCAACAGCACCTAGAAGCTGAGTGGAGGTTGGTAACCCTGTCACATCGCTGAATATTTTGTTTTGACTGGTTTTGACTGGGCGGTACACTCAAAAACACAAAAAAAGGATTCTTCGGCAAACATGAAGCGATATTTTTGAGTAAAATGCAGCTGAAATGTATAAAATCAAAACTTTATTTATTCATATGATTAATCATTAAAGAAATGTGCTTGGTATGTACAATCTTAAAATACAGTAAAGATAGGGGTTTTTTTAGCCTTTTTTGGATAGGGACAGCTTAGAGAGACAGGAAAGTGGGGAGAGAGAGAGGGGAAGACGAGTGGCAAAAGTCCACAGGTCAGACTTGAAGGCAGGCCTCTCCAGCCATACAGCATTTGGTCGCCTGTGCACCCACTGAGCTAAGCATCCCACACTGAAAATATTTAAATAAAGTGTACTCTATCTATCTAAATCTAACAAAAGTATCGATACTAAGCCAGGAATCTGATATCTCACAAATAACCAGCTGACATTATTGCTATTTGTGATATCTCAAAAATAATATAAAGTTTATGACCGTGAACTGTGATCTTTATTTGTTCAGATATGACTTGAGGATCAGATACATCCCATCAGACTTTATGGAAAAATTCCAAGATGACAGAACCACCATGCTCTACTTTTACCAGCAGGTCAGTAAAATTGTCAGTGTTTTTGCACCTTCGTCTTAGCGGTTTAATTTAGGTTTACACGTTTACCCTCAGGTACGAAGTGATTATATGCAGCAGTATGCCTCAAAAGTAAGCGATGGAATGGCTCTACAGCTTGGCTGTCTGGAAATCAGGTAACATCTCATGGACAAAAGAAAAACTGGGCAATAATTGTGCATACTTTCATGGAAAACTGATGGATGGTACTCTTACTACTTACAGGAGGTTCTGCAAAGACATGAATCCAAACGGATTGGAGAAAAAGTCAAACTTTGAATTTCTGGAGTAAGTTTAGCATGCATAACCTTCGTACTTCTCATGCTACTGCCTGTTTACCTTTTACCTCAGGCCTTTCATGCCTTTGTGGTACATGCGTGTGTACCACTTTATTGTTTTTGTAAGTTGTTTTTTTTTTTTTAAATAGGCCTGCGCCACCTATTTAACCAGCATTTCTCAGAAATAGAAGGGCTTTCTATTTCTGAGAATTGATATGTGGATATGTGGTGAAAGGTGGATGAAAAGGAAGAGTAAAAATGACCAGATGCAGTCTCCGGTTAACACAAAAAGCTACATAAAGTGCATATTTCTAAAAGTGAAAGTTTCACATTACATATTGTTCTAAACTAGAGAGATGCGGGGTTGCATCAAGTTTTTGTTTCATTATAGCTGTCTGACTTCCCTTTATTCCTCCATTAGGAAGGAGATAGGACTCGACCTCTTCTTCCCCAAAGAGCTCATTGACAGCATGAAGGTATGGAGCCAGAACATTTCGATACAATTTCTGCCTAAAGTTACAGGATGAAATAAAATGTGCCTGATTGTCTCCGTCTGCATCTGTGTATCAGCCCAAGCAGCTGCGTCGCATGATCCAGCAGACATTTCAGGGCTACTCGGCGCTGAATCAGGACCAGTGCATGGCGAAGTTCTTCACCACTCTGTCTCAGTGCTGGTGCTTCACGCAGGAAAGCTTCGCCTGCCAACTAGTGGTGAGTATTTGATGGGTGCACTGGTTGTCACGTATACTGGCACTGAATAAAACAAGTGGTGACTGAATTCTAACAGTAAAAACTTGTTTTGTTTGAAGATAAAACGCAGTGCAGTGCTTTATATATTTATGTTTTTCATTTCTTTGTGTTCACAAAAATGGGATCTCTTCTCTTCTCAGAGAGGTTTCAAAATTATTAATGTGTGTGCTTTGTGTCTCTGTAGCAAGGCTGGAGCTTAACAATAGACTTAGTTATTGACCCTGATGGGATTAGTCAGCACACTGAGAACTCAACGGTGAGTTTGAACTTTCTCTTACTTCTATTAATTTTTGTTTGATCTCTTAAAACAAATCTGTCATGGTGTGTGTGTGTGTGTGTGTGTCTATTTATATATAAATATATTGTCTAAATCTTTTAAATCTTTTCAGCCCATCTGTTTGGCCAAGTTCTCTCAGGTCCGCAGCATCTCCTGTACTGCAGAGAGTGATGGGCGAGCTCTGCTCAAAGCGCACATTGAGGGAGCCAAACAGGTAGCACTGAACTTCCTGATTTGTTTAACTGCTGTGTTTTGTTTCATTTCTACCTTTTTCATCAGTTCCCTGGAGACGTCAAATCGTCAAAGACTTCCAGGGAAGTAATGAAAAAGAACTGATGAAATTTTGAACTACAGTAGGTATCATTGTCCCCATCACCGGGGGAGAGTGATAGGGTTTATGATCTGGATTTTTTTTTTTTTTTTAATCACGCTGCTTTTACAAACAGTAGTTGTGTTGTAGAAGTCGCACTGACTATATCTTAATGCACCCAGTGTTTTTTAGTTCTTAGTGCAGATTAAATATCATGTATCTTCCACCCTCCAGCCGCTGTCAGTGAACACCTCCTCCCTGGCAGTAGCAGAAAACCTGGCTGACCTGATTGATGGCTACTGCCGACTGGAAGGCGCTGAACGTTCACTTATTGTCAGCCCCAACAAAGGTAAAAGTAATGTCCATCCATGCAAAAAGTAAGGGTCTTGAGATTAAAAAATGTCTTTTACAAGCGTGTCCTGGCCAGAAAAACAGCTGTATAATGGAGTTGCATAAGCTGGTATCACATGCATACTGGAGATTTTACGAGATATTCATTCTGCAGCTCATTCCAGGGGGAAGGAATGCCTTTCCACCCATCTTCTTAACCACTTATCTAGCTAAGAGTTGTGGGAGGGCTCAAGTACGTCCAAGCTATCATAGATTGACAGGTCGGGTATAGTTTGGACAGAGTGCCAGTCTATTGCACTCTTTTTTTCTTTTTTTTTTACATGATAACATGTGACATTTCCATGTAACCCACTCATCCTGCTTAATCCTGGCACTTACTTTTGGCCTCTTGGCTCTCACTTTCCATGAATTTGATATTACATTTGACATTAAAAAATAAAATTAAGCCATGTTTTTCCCACTTATTGCAGTAAGGTTTAGTATAACAGAGCATGAGACTGTGGAAAGAACCTTTAATTGCCGATTCCTGCCACCTATGCCTTAACCAGATATCTGACTCTTACAGGGAGAGATACGCGAATGAAACTTCCTGACATCCCAAAATGGTGAGCGTGATGAGTCAATTTGGAAAGTTGTGGGGTTTTTTTTAAATGTTATTAAAGGTGACACATTGTTTTCCCTCGGTGGGGATAATTTAGTAGAAGCATAACGTATGTGGGTGTAGTTTATTTTAAGATCTTCCTCCTCTGTGTTCATTTTTTCATATGTCTACCGCTCACAGCTGATATGTCACAGATGTTTGCTGAAACGTTTGCTTGTATACAAAATGTTACAGAAAGAAAGAAACATTTTTCTCTCTTCTTCTTCCAGTGCTGGTTCCAGTGCTCGCAGTAAAGGTTTCAGTAAGTACTAATCCAGCCTCTAGAATTTTACTTTTAACTTTAAAAGCAATGTATGTATACTAATAATGTGTTTTTCTTTTATTCGTTTAACTTTAGATTCTGATATTTATGCTGAAATCCCTGAAGACGGAGCTGACATTAGTGGTGAGTAGCATTTTACTTTAAATCAAAATTGATCCTGAAGCTCACGCAGATTGTATCGCTACCAATGAGCCAAAACCATCTGTCAGTTAAGGTGTTTGTGTTATTGCGATGGCCAGTTGTGGGGATTTTGTTATATAATCCCCTGCTGCTCTCTTCCTTATTGAGAAAGAATGAAAATGTTAAAACATTGTTGCAAAACAGCAAACTAAGAAAAGCTGGAGTATTCAAAGTGAGTAAGTGGAAAGTTAAAAATGTACATGTAAAAACTTCCCCGGGTTTAACCAAAATTATACGGTACTGTGCAAAAGTCTTGAGCCGCCCTCATTTCTGTATATTTCCCTTCCAAAAAGACTGAATCTAGTTTTGTTTTTTGGGTTGTTGTTTTTATTTTAACGTAACCTTGAGCTTCCTGAAAGTCTTTTAATGTTTTTCCTTGGACATTGACTGCTCTATACCAGTTCTATAACTTGGTTTGGGGTTTTTGTTTGCTTCTTTGTTGTTAAGGTACTTCACATTTATGAATCATTCAAACATAAAAAGCCACCTAACTCAAGGGATGAGCCAGTGTTCTGTTTTCACATAATAACTTGGCAAAGAACCAATTTCTTTAGTTGAATCTATAAAAAACTTATTTAGATAACACAGTTTGGCAGACATACAAATAATATTTATGCACCAGTGAGGTGATCCCCAAAGAGCTGTAAGCTGAAAGCTTGGGATTTCTCAACATTGTGTGCAGCGTGTCCTTAAAAAATCTGAAGAAACTGGACAAATGGAGGATAAAAAGAATAAATGGCAGGTGTGGGAGATGCATCTGGCTATTGATGGGTTGATCGAAGTGTTCGCTGGAGCCTCATCAGAAATGGTCTTGGTTCAATGGCCAGCTGGTGTCAACAAGTACCATCAAATTTTGATCCACTATGAAATACTATCTGAAAAGCAACTGGTCGACAACTGCTTCATTTTTCAGCATGTCAGTGATCTCAAACACACTGCCAATGCAGTTAAAGAACACCGGGGTAGAAACCCAACATTATCAGTCACAGGTTGGCCTCCCCAGACCTCGAACCTCAACATTATTGAAGCAGTGTGGGATCATGTTGACAGAGAACAGAACAAAAGGCAGAAACATCCAAAGAAAAGCTTTGAATGTCCTTCAAGAACTCTGGAGAACTATTGCTGAAGACTACTTAAAGACATGATAAGAAAGCTGCCTTTAGACTATGATGAAGAATAAAGGTGGTCATACCAAATATTGAATTGGAATTGTACAAACTCTGTTTTTGACTTATAGTATTTTTATATAGGTGCGCAGATGTTTCAATAAATAGCTGCACCTATTTTCCTGGTGATATATTTTTGGCAAGACTTTTACATAGTACTGTATATTTATTTTGGTTTACACCTACGCAGGGAGTTTATTAGATGACAGCTGCAGTGAGGAGTTTACACCTTCTGGGTACTTGTAGTGGCGTGTATGCGGTACCTTTGGTGCAGGCTCTCTGTGGCTGGTGTCAAATACTTTCGAGTTGTAACATGGTCTGTTTCACCTCTTATCCATGTCCAGTTCCACCTCCATACTTTGGATGTCACTATTAAACACAGATATCAGGGCTTTATATATTTATAGAAGTACATTGATTGATAAATATTTTAGGGCATTTAGATCTTATTTACTTGTTTTCTTGGTGCACTACTAAAAACAAAGGTAGCTTTTCCTTTTTTTTTTCTTTTATACTTGCTTGCTATGTTCCTTTAAATATCCAGGAGATGTGGGTAAGTAACAAAAAGTGCCTGGGTTGGAGAAAATTTTGCAATTAAATTAAGGTTATTATTATTAATATTTACATCAAATTATATGCATGAGCTGTTATCACAGCTCACATTGTAGTTTCACTTTATATGACTCAGAAAATGAACATACTGCTGCAAAGTGTGACACAGAGGATGTAAACGTGTCCCAGTAACATGTAAAGGAAGGAAATACAAATAGTGGCAAACCACACATCCTGTTGTGTGTAGGCTTTTCTTTTTGTTTTTTTGTTTTGTTGTCTTGTCTTGTTTGAAATGAACAGCTTTACATTTACAGCATATCACCTACCTTTTAAAAGAGGGAAACGTGGAGTTTTCTCAACCTGTGCCTTTGTTTCTGTGTGCAGAAAGGCACAAGATCTCCAAGGAGGATTTCGTTGTGGGACGGATCCTGGGCGAGGGATTCTTTGGAGAGGTTCACGATGGAGTTTATAAAAGCCCAGTGAGTCCATCTGTTGTGTTGACTAACTAGCCTCATGCTAAGGCTCAGACATGCTTGATAAGAACATCCCACAAATATCCATCAAACCCAAAGCTGAAAATATGAAAAAGGTTTGCAAATGTAAACCACTGTGCGTGTGTGTTTGTCTGCAGACAGGGGAGAGGATCCGAGTGGCCATCAAAACATGTAAGGACTGTTCGGCTGATGTAAAGGAAAAGTTTCTCAGTGAAGCCGGTGAGTGCATTGCAGCTGCAGTGATTGTTTCCTTTTCTTTTGCACTACACATGTCAGCCAGCATGTGCAGGGGTTTGTGACGCAACTGCAGCACGCAGGAATTTATAACAAAAAAAGCACTTTAGGGCCAAGTTGGGTCTTATGTGGGTGGGTTCTTATACACTTGAAAATGAAAGTGTTGGCTAATTTTTGCTTAAAGAAGTAATGAGTAAAGTGTGACAAGCCAAGAGTGAAATGTGCTAGTTTAGATCATTTGAAGGTTTTTGCACCAGTAACGAGGCTGATGTAGTGAACTTCCTGTTGGCTGCTTGTGGTTTCATGTAATAACTCCAACGGCTAGATGTGGGAGTCTGGAAGCCGCAGGTTTTATCATCCATTGCAAAAACATCAAAGCTTGAGACGTAACAAGCTTTGATGTTTTCTGTTCTGAGATAGACAAAACATTCCTGAGGTCCGGATCTTTGCTGATGGTTAAACTGTTTAAATCAAGCGTTACATTTTGAAATTTCATGGTCACAGGACGAAATAGCCGACATTTTTGTTACGCTTTTCCCCCAGAAATGCCCTGCTTCTTCTTCCATGATCATCAGCAACACTCTTCTTATTTTCTTTGTTTAATCCAGCATTCACATTTGCATTTCTATGTAGCACTCGTTTTGGTCTCAACCTTGTCCTGTTGCACTCATCACGCTTCACTAGCTGCAAATTCACCAGCTAGCCGCACGTTTCTTTGCTGGGCATGCAGTGGGTGTTAAAACAAAATGAGCAACAGAAACTCCTCTGGAATCAGGTTTTTAGAGTTAATCAAACATGCACTTTTGGGTGAAAACTGTATGACAGTAAAATATATAATAACATTCGATTAAAGAGCTGTGGGGTCTTTTAGGGGATGCCACATGATGGCTCTCCTCTGTAAAGTAAAGTTGAACATGTTTTATTTTTAAGCCTATCAAACATGAGCAATTGCCCGTGCTCATCTGATAGGAGGGGCTAAGAAAAGAGAGGGGAGAACTATCGATTTTGCTTCTGAAGAAAATAATTATAATCTTCCTCATAAAGTATGAACAAGACTTGCACGAAAAGCAGAAGTCAAATGTATTTTTAGATAAAGAGCTTAGGTTAGGCACAGTGGTGTGATGGTTAGCACCATTGCCTCATAGTGGGGAGGTACTGGGTTTGAATCCACCACCTGCCTGGGGCCTTTCTGTGAGGAGATCGCATGCTCCCAGTGTTCTCTCTGAAGCCATGCAGTCAGTAGGTTTAGGTTAATCTGTGTAGTTGTCTGTCTGCCTAGGCTGGAGTAATGCTAAAAAAATTGTAAGCAGGACTTTGGGGCTAGTATGGCTTTTGTTATCTGTAAACAAAAAGCCATAATATAACCAAGAACCATTGCTGCATGTAATCTCTGTCTGTCTCTACATTAATAAAGTCTGAATTCTCTCTGTTAAAGACTTGATGAAAAATCTGGATCACCCCCACATCGTGCGTCTGATTGGAGTCATTGAGGCCGATCCTGTCTGGATTGTCATGGAGCTCTATGAACACGGAGAGGTATGTTTTTGTGTTTTTATTCTAATGGTAAACCTAAAGTATCACAACCTAAACCGTGACTTGCAACTGTGCCTTGTTTCGCTCACAGTTGGGGAACTACCTCATAGAGAACCAGTACAGCCTGAGCACAGCGACGCTTGTCCTCTACTGTCTACAGATATGCAAAGCTTTGGCTTACCTAGAAGGTCTCAACATGGTGCACAGGTAGCACATTTTCCACAAGTAGTGTGCTTTCATTACCTGCAGTGTATTTTAAGAAAGAAGCTCAACAGGACTGAATAAAAACATTTTTATTTTGCAGAAACTTTAAAGCCTCTCTGCATGTTGTGCAGATATTAAGTGAAAATGGTTTGCATGCTGATTTCTTTTGGTGTGATGTTTCTTTATTCTTCGCGTCATCTTGTGGTTTCTATTTTCTCTGTCTGTCTGTCTGCGGGCCATAGAGACATAGCGGTGAGAAACATCTTGGTGGCGTCTCCAGAATGCGTCAAACTTGGTGACTTCGGCCTCTCTCGCTACGTAGACGACCAAGAGTATTATAAAGGTGCACACATCGACAAGTTTCGAATGTTTGTAGAAGTCAAAATAAATGTCATGTTTTTGCTTTGCCCATTTAACTGCACCCATTAACTTAGTGAATCTCAATTTCTCCTCTGTGTGCAGCTTCAGTAAGTCGTTTACCAATCAAATGGATGGCACCAGAATCCATCAACTTTAGACGTTTCACCACAGCCAGTGATGTCTGGATGTTCGGTGAGAAAAAACAACAACAAAAAAATTCATTCTCTCAGTTACACATGTAGGTCTTTACTCCGTCTGAACACAATACATGCTTTTATTAAACCAGGAACAGAAACAAGTAGTGCTTAAAGTTAGTTTCACCGCGGTACAGCTTGAGGTTTTCACTCAGTTGATTTGTAATTCCTCAGGCTGTAGACTGATGTGAACCATGTTATTTAGTCCTTCCATCTCTCATAGCACACAGTTTTTGGGCTGATGTTAATGCTTGAGGAGTCCACTTCAATTTTTTTTTTTTAATTTAGAGCCAAATCACAACAACAGCCGTTTCACAGGAGCTGTTGTTTTGGCATCTTGAGGCATGTGAGGCTCTGCAGCTAGTGAGTCAGCCAAACGTTGGGAGTTTTTAAAGATAACCCACCTCAGCACTCAGCGACCCATCTGTGCAACATAATGTGGTCTGCCGCTTCATGCCTGAGTTACTGTGGTTCCCAAACGCTTTCTCTTTGCAGTAATACCTCTTACAGCTGGTCATGAAATATCGAGGGGGGAAGAAATTTCATGAACTGAGTTCATAAAGATGCAGATTGATTTCTGTAAAAGCAGACTGTGCCTGATTTTACACACCTATGTTGGGCTACAGCTATCGATTTTAGTGATCAAGTGTTCTACCGATTATTCCATTAATTAATCGAGTAATACCCAACAAATAGTTATGTCTTATTAACTACTAAAACCAAGTATTCAAAAGAGAAAGAGGCAGGTCTTTAAAAACAGCTCATAGGTTTCCAACCTAAAATAAGTCGTAAATTAAATGGGTTTAAGTCCTCTGAGAAGGCTTTCTTATGCTGGGCTTACACTGTGCGATTTTTGGCCCATTTTGAGCCGATTTTTGAGTCGTGCGACCGTTTTGGCGATCGGCCCGATTTTGGCCTTCATCGTGCATCGTGCATCGTGTAGTATACGTGGGGTAACGAGAAGCGATTAACACCTCACGACCAGCTCCCGATCATCAATCGCTTGGTCGGGAGGAGGGTGTCACCGCAGCTGCTCACACTGCGCACGCGCAAACACATAAACGTCGGTGAGCACAGCAGTGCAGCGTGTGATCTGGACACAAGCGATGGAGGCACTTGTAGAACTTTGGAAAGCTCATCCGAACCTTTTCGATGTGGCCTCACAAAATCATCACAACCACAACAACCGTGACAATAGTTGGATTTACACTGCTGCTCAATCACAGCTGCTTGATCAGTGTTTTTCGTTAGCAATTTAGCAAAGTTGATGGTGGTGGTGTGTCTGTGTGAGTGAAAGACAGAGAGGGTGAGTGAGCAACAGAATTTCTGTTATAACCTTCATTTTTATGGACGCACAGTGTGAGCACTCAGGTCGCATCAGAGCATCGGGCCGTATAGTGTGAGACCCTGCAGACCCAGTTTGAGCAGGAGAGGAATCGCGCGACTGAAAAAATCGCACAGTGTATGCCCAGCTTAAGTATGTGTGTCTGTGTGCGTGTGTGTGCATATGAGCAAGTGTGAAAATGTGATTGAGTATGTTTGTCTGTAAGCCTTTGAAAGAGCATGTGGCAGCTACAATGAAGAAAAGTGAGCATATCAACTTCCTCAGAAGTGAGCACTTTGATGTAACGCTTCCTGCTGCCGAAAACAGGCGTGCTGGTGTTTGCAGCTGTCAGTAATTATTGTTAATAATATTTAAGTGACCCACCTAAAAAACCCAAGTCAGAGGCTCAGACTTTCCTGGAACATGTACACATTTTTGAAAAATATTTTTTTAAAATATTAAAATATTATCAATACAATACAATACTACGGAGCCCCGCAGGGGACATGGGAGAAAAAAAAATTAAGACGGACTTTTGCGAGATCTCGCAAAACTATCTTGGGATCTCGCAAAAGTTTTGCGAGATCTTGCAAAACAAACTCGGGATCTCACAAAAGTTTTGCGAGATCTTGCAAAACAAACTCGGGATCTCGCAAAACTTTTGCGAGATCTCGCAAAACTTTTAGCCACATTCTTCGGACGCTGGCTCGAAGCCGACCGGGAGGTCGAGGCACGATGTGCCGGGAAAGCGGTGTTCCTCCCGGCTGTAGTAGATCTCGACCTCCTGTTAGCTCGAAGCTAACGGGAAGAATGTGGCTAAAAGTTTTGCGAGATCTCGCAAAGCTTTTGCGAGATCCCGAGTTTGTTTTGCAAGATCTCGCAAAAGTCCGTCTTAATTTTTTTTTCTCCCATGTCCCCTGCGGGGCTCCGTACAATACAAAATGTATTTATGTTTTATATTAATCATTTGTAAATCAGTGAAACAAGTGAACCAGCCATCATCATTTTACATTGTGGGCTACAAAAAGCCCATAAGTGGGCCATACCAGACCACTGAAACTACATTATGAATCGTAAAATCACCAAAAAAAGAAAATGCTCCTTGTTAAAAAAAAACTGTAATTCCTGTAGTAGATGGTGTCAAAATAGGAATGTGTTTTTCATCGTTTATCTACCAATTAATTAAATAGATGTAGATTGAGGTGCTTTATATGGGACATAAACACCGTACAATAATACAAATCAATCAATAAGAAGAAAAGCTGTAAAACTTAAAGGTAAAAATCTATGCAGTTCTTCACATTTTCCAAAGCTGTCCAATGTCCCACATTCTGGCCCCGGACCGTATGTTTTACACCCTTGCTGTAAACTAATGTTACTAAAGCCTAGAATTGAATATAATTTAGTATGCATGCTGCATATTATGGGGCGCCGATTTTAAAGTAAAACATGCTGAAATTAACGGCAACATTTTTTCACATTTAGCTCAAAACCTTACAAAAACATGTTTTTTTTGAGTAATTTTTTACAACATTTAGTAAAATGTTTGTAACTTTTCAAATGTTAAATATTAAATCTAAATGTTACATGTTAAATCTAAATATTATATTTAAATCTAAATCTAAATGGTAAATCTAAATGTTAAATATTAAATCTAAATATTATATTTCAATCTAAATGTTAAATTTGCATGTTAGCCTAAACATTTAGATTTAACGTTTAACATTTAGATTTAACATTTAAAATTGTGTTTTAACTACGAAAAGTTACAAATATTTTACTAAATGTTCTAAAAAAGGACTCGTTTTGAGCTAAATGTGGAAAAATGTTGCCGTTAATTTCAGCATGTTTCACTTTACAAACGGCGCCCCATAGCATGTTACTAGTAACAAGCGCTGCAGTTTTGGACATTTCCTGAGCTTGCCAGTAACAGCTACAGCTCCGGTAACAGTGTGCGTAGACAGACTCCTCTTTATTCTATTACAGCGTCATCTTCACTGCTGCTGTTGTTTCTCATGAGTCTTTTTGTTGAGATAAGTAGGGGCTGCTTGAGCTTAATGGTGTAAGACATTTTATTCACACGCGTGCTCCTAAATACATTTGTACTGGTTTTAGTCACAAATGTAGGTGAAAGGCTCACAACTGTGCAGTGGTCAGTGGCAGCTGAGTGCTGCATAGTCGTGGTTTAACAAAGCATCGCAGTAAAGAATTTACATTGGGGATTTTTTTAGTAATCAAGTCTCTCAGTGAATAATTGCAGCCCCACACCTATGGGACTGAAGACATGCTCAGTATAAGTTCAGTTCTCAGTTCATGTGATGCAGAGATGTCAAACATACGCGGGCACCAGATTTGGTTGGGCAAAGACTCCAATCTGGGCCAATGGACAGCTTGAAAAATGTGACAGAATGCATAAATTTTCACATGCATTTTCATAAATTTTACAGCTTTTCCGATTAATAAAGACCCCTCCCTGCCACTGAAATTTATACTGCACCAAAGTAATTAAGTAGCCGATAAATGATGACAATAACGCTCCTGTTTTTAAAATATCTACTATAGAAATTAAATTGTTTTTCCCATTTTTTACAGTCAGGTCACAGGAAAAAGCATGATATAAAATTATTAAAGTGTCTAAACATCATGAGTGTGTCTCTCTAAAATCTGATGTTCAAGCTTAAATCAAGTTTCATGTCTGAAATAATAGTTTAGTTGGGAATCATCTTAGAGACAAATCTGCTGATGTATTTATAAACCGCATTTGCGTGATGAAAGTGTAAGTGCCAGTCTCAGTGTGAATAGATAAACATAGATTATTTTTAATATAGCTAATCGTGTGTGTGTGTGTGTGTGTGTGTGTGTGTGTGTGTGTGTGTGTGTGTGTGTGTGCCCACGTGTTTGTGTGTGGGAGATCTTCTCAATGGCCCAGCAGCCGTTCTTCTGGTTGGAGAACGGGCAGGTGATCACCCAGCTGGAAGTGGGCGTTCGACTCCACAAACCGCAGCTCTGCCCGCCCATCATCTACTCGCTGCTTACCCGCTGCTGGGCCTATGAGCCCAGTGGCCGTCCCAGCTTTGGCCAGCTTGCCTGCTCCCTCAGGTGCACACTCACCTAACTGAACACATGACCCCCAGTACCTGCAGAAGAACTGATCCCACTATTCAAAGTTATATAAACTGATGATGCCTGTGTTTAATAGTGACGTCCACAGAATGGAGGTGGAGCTGGAGAAAGATGAGAGGCGAAACAAACCACGGTCCAACTCGATAGCATTTGATCCCAACCACACGGAGCCTCCACCAAAGGTACCACACATGCACCAATATGAGAATCTCTGCAGCTGTCTTTAAATAAACTTCCACCTAGGTGTAAACCAGCATAGACAGATTAGGCTGAATTACTGCACACAGAAATGATGACATTTCGATTATGTCAGATGAAATCTTAAGACATCAACAGAGTTATTATAAAGTTTCTGGTTCCTTACAGTCAAGTTAGTTGATTAAATGACTTAAAAAGGACTTTTTCTGCTTATTTTATCTCAGTGTTTTTCACTCTTTGTCTGTTATAGTAGTTTGACTTAGTCATAGTTCAAAAAATCTATGGAATGGAAACAAATAATGTGCTTTTTGAAAAACCGTTAGACAAAAATTGCCTGAACATACAATTTAAAATTGCTTCTTTGCTAAGTTGTCTGTTATGTGTTTACACATTACACTGGTGCCTTTTTTATGCTTAAATTATTTATAGGTCATTGTTAAGTGGCTTAGTGAAAAAGCAGCCAAAGACCTTCAGAAAGCCCGTGGCACAGATAAAGATCAAGAACTCAAAGAAATGAGGGGTGGCTCAAGACTTGCACAGCACTGCACACACATATATTTTTGTTGCGTTACAACGCATCTTGAAAGTGAAATACACCAGAGTTTCTGCTTATTAAATGTGTCAAACTTTTCACTTTGGTCTCATAAATGAAGCTGCATCTGCAGATGCTACATGCTAGTTCCTCCATATTCAGGTTCCTAGAAAGCTGGAGATAGTGTGGAAGTAAATGGGGAAAATCCAGTCTTTCTTTAACTCACACAGATCACTTTCTTTTTCACAAGCAATTTTCAACCATTTATCTTTGGTTGCCTTTTTTATACGCTTATTGTGATTTTTAAAATGTCTTTTTTCATGTGTATGCAGTTTAAAGTTATGTGCAGAATGAATTATGTAAATGTTTTAACCTACATATTGTCCTCTTTCTTTCTCTTAGCCTTCCAGATCAGCAGGCAGCACCCTTCCCCAAGGCTCACACATACAGGTATCTAAACACACTTACACACACAGATATACAATAGTGTACACATACATGTATATTAGTGTCTAAATTCAGATTCAGCTGCGCGCGTCCCCTTACCCAGGAAACACATATTCAGTGAATGTTAATACAGTTTTGAAATTTTACCTTCACAAAACCGCTTCTTATCAGCAATTGCATTATTGATCTTTTCATATTGCTTAACAAAATGAGAGGGAAATCTCTTAGAGTCACGTTCGTCGGTGGAAGCGCTTCTGCTAAAGGGGTTAAAATTGGATGACTGGAGGATATAGTGGAGGAAACAGAACACGTGACAAAATCATTGAAGGGGAAAAACTGTTTTACATAAGCAACTGAGAAAAAGTTACAAAAAACACATGAGGTTTTAAATAGCTATCTGCGCTGTATATAACTATCTGCACCAGTATAATAAAATTAGTAACATGTCAAGGGCGTGTGTGTGTCTGTGTGTGTGTTTGTGCATGTGTAGGTACCTCCAAAGGATAGCATCCCAGCATGGGAGAAAGAGAGAGTGGAAGAAACTTTGGAAAGACAAAGAAGAGAAATGATGATGGACAAAAAGTGGCTGGAGCAGGAAGAGAAACATCTGGTGAGAGATCACACACACAAACACACACATAATGCAGCCAGGTTTGAACCACAGGAGTTTAGCAGTGTAACAAAATGAAGTGATACATGTCTGATATTATTTCATGGGACTATAATTGATTACACATAAAGCACTAAAGCTTATTTTTAAATGTGTTTTCCTGTAGGGTCCTGTTGTGGGACGAGATACACAGATCGAGGTACTTTCTTCTTCTTTTCCTCTTGTGCAAATCATGCTTTGATCAGCGCGAGGCAGAAACCCAGTTGAAAATACAGCTGCTCGGCCATGCAAACCCATGCCGTGAAGCTCCTGATGCACAGTTTTTGTGCTGATGTTAATACCAGAGGAGATTTGGAGCTCTGCAGTGTTTGAGTCATTACAGTACTAGCTATAGCTATGCAACCACCTCAGCAGTGAGTAAACCCACTGTGCAACTTTAAGTGATTTCCCACTTCCTGGCGGAGTTACCATGATTCCTAAATGCTTCAGATTTTCTGCAATACTGCCAACATTTGATCGTGAAATATCTAGGTGGGAAGAAATTTCATGAACTTACTTCCAAGGTGCGAGGAGAAGGACAGAGATCTGGCGACAGATCTTCCTTAATGCTTCAGCAACACATGAAGCATTAAGGAACAACTTTATTGGTTGACCAGCGTGTTTCAGCTTATGGCTTTCATCGTGGTCACAAGTCGAAACACGTTGGTCTTTTGTCCATATAGTGTAAAACTATAAATGTTAAGTTGATCTTCCATCTACAGTTCGAGCTGACAAAAATTCAGTGGTGACTTGTTTTCATCAACAGAGTTTAAACTTTTAAGATACAAACCTTGTTGTGCTTTAAATAACTCGTGTGGTTAGCTTAATGAGGAAGTTGATTTACTCAAAAATGTGGTAATGGTGTGGGGGTTGGGAGGGTGATTGGTTTAAACATATTAGTTTCCAAAGATTATTTAAACGCTGCTGGCTAACCGTACTCTGTTAAGTTGATAAAGAGTATCTGTGTCACTGTTTCTCTGTTATTTGCAGCTTCCTCACAACAGCTCAAAAAACGGTGAGTCCACTTTAAATTTTTAGGTGTCTTCAGCGTACATACACTTTTCTTAACTGCAGTGTAACGTACAAAATTAATTAATTAATTAACTAATTAGTAAGTTTCAAATTTACTCCAACATTTATAATCCTTTTTTTTTAAACTGTTAAGCATCAGCTGTTCATGGAATGTGCAAAATCCTGTGCTGTTGGCATTACTAGTCTGATACATGGCTTTGATTTATTAGATTCTCTTCTGTGTTTCAGGTCCTCCACAGAAACCTCCAATGCCAGCTGCACAGGTAAAAGTGCACAATAAATTTTTCATCAAAAATAGTTAAGAAAGGGTTGAAAAGGTTTAAATGTGGACATTTTAAAGCTTAAATGAAGCTACGTGTCAGTAAGAGCTTTCTTGTACTGCTGCAGCCTCGTCCCACAGCTGAGCTGGACCGATCAGGTGATCAGGTTTACACCAGCGTCATGGCGATGGTGAAACAGGTGGTCCAGCTGAAGAATGATGTCAACACACTGCCGTCTTCTGAGTATCCCAATGCTGTCAAGGTAGGTCTATGTTAGTATCTATGATACACTGAGGATCACCTTTTTTCAGAGCACACAGTACTGACAGCAGAGGGCGCCGTTGGTTTAGCTCAAGCAGACATAAAGCTTTCTATCAGGTGTAGGAGAGTTTATACAACTAAACATAAGTTCCAGCATTTAAAACATGGGACATTTGTGGTGTTATTAAAATTAACAACAGGTGCACTAGAGGGGCAACAATGAGACAACCAATGTTCCCTCTAAGCTGCGCGCGTGCGCAATTGCGCACTGCTGGCACGGTCTCTGCGCACAGAAAATCTGCGTTGTGCACAAAAAAATCTAACCTGACTTGAAATTAAAATTAAAACTTTAACATTCCTGTTTTGCAGGGTTAGTCAGTCAGTGACTGGCAGCTCCCGTATGGGAATAGAACGATGCCACCTTATCCCATAGTCCAGCCAATGATGCGATTCACATTCGTATATACGCAGCTAATCAACATCGTTGACAGGCTATGACAGTGTCCTTATGCGCCGACACCGGTGTTTTAGCTAGCAAAGCGGGCTGATGTGGAGTGAAGCCACGTTAATGACAACGTGTACAACCATTGGAGATGTGAGCAGGACAGACGGAACAATTGCACTGGAAAAAGTGCGGACTTTATACCAGTTTTTAAATTGTGTTGATCGGCCACGTAAAACCAGAGTTATG